CAATCGTGCAATGGCTTCATAAGGCGGCAACGGTGGCACAAGTGAATCCACACTCATAGCAAGCGAAATGAATATGCTCCTGCTGGCCCATATGCAGGCTATTAAAGTTAGGAAGAGGAAGAACCCCGCTCAACTCGAGGCTCCTTAACATGTTGTGCTGCACTCTATTATCATGTCGCTCAAAGATCCCGTATTTCGCACGGAAGGCAACATTTTTAACAAGGGTCAAGACAATCTTAGGAGAGCGGGCAGCTTATGAAATCCAATCGGTGATCGATCCCGTGCCTGGAACTTCCTTTTTGCAGGCAAGGGAGGTCATCCATCTGAGGTCAGCGAAAAGAGCTTGGGGCCACATGCGCGGGTGAGCAATGCAAAGGTCCATGCAGCGACGAAGAGTCAAAGAAGCATGCCTCAGAATCCGAACAAGAAAACGAAGGCGGGCGACACTGAGCACACAATCAAAAGGGATGCGCTCAGCCGCATACAAAACATCATCTTGAGTGTTATGTTTCCCGTCTTTGTGCATAGGAAGCGCCAACGCCGCTCTGTAGACGGCCACCTGAGCAGTGCGCATGCGTTTGGTTTCGGAAGGGGTGAGCGGGTCCCAAACACACACACACACATTGTGCAGGATATTCGAGGCGGCATAGTTTTCAGCTCAGCGCACTTTGCTAGCATTGGGCAACGCCTTCCGAGGGGCCAGGGAGCACCTGATGGGCTTGAGCTCCGCACGCATCTGGCTCCCCCTATACGCGATTTGATGGTTCTGAGACGCCTTGTCACTAAGGAACGAGCCCAGCAGTTTGAAATGTCGAACAACCTTGACGCAGACGCCATGGGTCTCTGACACTACTTGATCACTGCTGTCGTCAAGCGCAAATGTGCGAAGCATCTGTTTCTTGGCGTTCTTCCCGGCAAGGCGAAACATGATAGCAGTCTTGGTGGCGTTCAACTGCAGACCTTCTGGGAAGTAACATGATGATAAGCAATATCTAACATTTTCGAGGCAATGTGGGGAACCTGAAACGCATCACCGCAATCTCCAATGGACGTGAGGTCATCAACGTACGCAGAAGACGCGTTTGGCTGCCCATCGTCACTCTGGGTACCCGCAAAGGGCCCTTCTGAGGGAGGGATCGAGGACATGAGGCCTGCCTGCCACATGTCGTCCTGAATATCACCAACAATAGGCGCAAAGACAATCTTAAAAACATCACAGGCAAAGACGGTTCCAGGTTTAGTGCCGAAACTGGGAAAAACGTAAGAATCAGCACCACGATATTGCCACCAAGATCCCGCCTGAGCGCCGCGCAACAACTCCAGGATCGGACGCTCGGCAAGGAGCACCGTCAAACGGAAAGCGGGGGGCATGGGCAACTCTTTAATCGCTTGGGAAATTTGGTCCTGGTCAGAAAGAAGGCTCATAACAACCTGTCCGACAATGCTATAGAACGCAGCAACAAGGTCGAGGAAAACAACAACAGCAGAACGACCACGAAGTGCAAGCAAGTGCAGTCGCATGCGCGCGGCAAGGCAGGCAAAATCAGTCCCCACCCCAGGCCTGCCCCCACTCTGCTCATCCCTAAGCAGGCCGAAAATAATCTCCTTGGCGCGGCTGCGGACAAATTTCTGGTGCACCTTAAGGGTGGTGTTGGAAAGGAGGATACTGCGCATAGAAGCAGCAAGAGTGATGTCCCCCTTCCCTGGTAGAAAGAAACAACTTGACCAAGGCGAAGCATATTGGGTTCTTCTCCGAGCACACACATCTTCAACAAGAGAATGTGCAACAAGCGGGTCGCCTCTCTCGGGGCAGCTTTCAACACATCATTGCTAATTTGATCAGGCCCTGGGGCCTTCCTGCTGGGGGTGTTGGAAATCAGACGCTCCAGCTCCTGGATAGTCACAAGATTGTCTAAGTGTCTCATGCCCTCCCACGCGTTACTGAATGATGGGGACTTGTCATACCGATCCTGGGCTTGCTCGAGCGTGACATCCGTACCTCTTTCTATCTTCGCGAAATGTTCCTGCAAGTCACGAGCGTCCTCCAAGGGGGTCTCAATCACTTTCCCATCAGGGGCCTTCCTAAAGGCGGTTACCATAGGGGCTGTGTGAGGCTTACCCCCGAAGCTCAAGAGCACGCGAATATGATTCCACTCTTTACGTGGAGTGTGGCCATCGATAGTATGTCGGGCCTCATTCTCGTGAGACATGAGAAACGCGGAGTAATCACAATCAAGGTCACCTTGGAAATGGGGGGGAGGCAATGAAAGAGACGAGGGCTAGACGAAACTCATCAATATCAATATTTCGATGCAAAAACTGGTAGCATTGCTCCTGCAGGCTCGGCCAGACAGACTGCAGAGGATGATACTGCAGAAGATGTGGTTGCGATTGCGCCGCTAGCTGAATCTCGTGACATAGGTCACCCTTGCTCAAACTCACCGCGAGGTAAAAAAGCCGTCCGATGACCTCACGCTGGCCGTCGGCTTCTCGGGAGATGTCCTCACCAGGGTCCGAAGGTAAAAAGGCTCCGCCCGCTAGCGTAAGGTGCTGGCTGCATCGAAGCGCCTTCCTGATCGCACGGCGGGCACGGATGAGGACGAAGGTGGGAGGGGAGATGTAAGGCTTTCTAGGACGGGCAGAGTTTTTGCCGAAAGCAAGTATCGTGGCCCGACGAATGGTGCTCGCAACTTGAGCGTAATGGTCGTTCAAATTTTGGCCCCAGGGCTGGAGGTCGGCCTGTCTGAGGGCCGACGCAAACACAGAGCACGCAACGGGGTCCGAAAATTTGTTAGTGTCCACTCTTGGGTCGTGAGCTCCCTCCTTCTTAAAAGTCTGGCTCCAGCCAAACGTAGCAATAGGCGGAAAATTGTCATCCGCTTCTCGCGTACTCTCCCAATTGTGAAGAACATAGGTATCACAGAGGGTTTGGAGGCGGCGCTGCTGGGATCCTCCTCCTCCTCCTCCTCCCCCTCCTCCTCCTCCTCCTCCTCCTCCCTCCTCCTCCTCCTCCTCCTCCTCCTCCTCCCTCCTCCTCCTCCTCCTCCTCCTCCTCCTCCTCCTCCTCCTCCTCCTCCCCCTCGGGAATCCTCGACGATTTGCGTCTGTGTGGGACCTCTGGGACAACGTCGTGCCCCGGCGTCCCCGTCGGCACCCTTCTGCGGCCCAGGCGCCGGCGCCCGAGCATCCGCGGGCGCCCGGGCCCGCGGGCTTCGTCCGGCGGCCCTCCCGCGCCTCCCCCCCCCTCGGCTACACGTCAGAGTGACCCTTCGCTGGAGTGACCTTTGGTGCGGGCCCACGGGGGTCCCCAGATTGCCGATCGCGATGCGATAGTAGCGTCCTGCGCGCTTGTGTGTTGGCCCCTTCGCGGCTCCCAAAAAGCCGCGCACCAAAGGTCATTCTTGCCCTTTGTCACTCCTGCGTGCAGTTGACCCCCAGGAAGCTCCCCGCCCGCCTCCGGTGCCAGCCCTCTTTGGGACAGCGGGCCCAGGCTCGATGCCATCGCCCAGACCTCCTCGCGTAGGGAAGAACATCGCTATCCGGGGCCCTTCCCGGGCCCCGGGATCCACCGGTTCCGGGGAAAGGGTCCAGACCTTTGGGGGTCGACGTTGCGAAAAAATCACGACGTTTTGGGGTCTGGGATCGGAGCGCCTTGAGATCTTGGCGCTGCAATGTTTTCACAGCAGGCGCTTTTCCGCCTGGGTCGGGCCCCCGAGACACTCACAGATCGACTCGGCTCGAAAAATGACGCAGACAGATGGGGTCCAGGGTTCTGGCCCTGTTTTTTGGCCATGTGGCAATTTTTGCAGCGTCGGATCTCAGGGCCAGACGTGCTCGCGTCGTGAAAGCACACGACCCGCAGTTTTTGGCCTCGCTGGGCTCCGTGGGACTGTCCAGGGAACTGGCCGGGATGAAGAACCAGTCCTGGGGGAGGGTCCAGAGGTCTGATGTCGTCTGTGTGCGATCGGAATGGATAATCACGGAAAGAGTGGGCACGAAGGCCGACGGCACTTCTTGTCCATTCTGCATTGGACTCGCTGTCGGTGTCGCAGCGGGCGCTCTCCATCTGCGACAAGAGGTAGCCTTCTCAGCAGCGGCCGCTGTCGGTGTGGGGCGAGATTAGCTGTCAGGCATGGTGCCCATTTTCAGTGTATACCTATTCGGGCGTCCGAGCAGGATCGGTATGAGTCGCTCCAGAGCGCTCCGGAGCGCTAGCGCCTCAGCACGCTCCGAGCGGGCCGTGGCGCCCGATGCATCCCCCAGAACCGCCAGACCTCAGAGATTGGGAAGGCCTTGTACGGTCGGTACCGCCGACCCTTATATTGGAACGACGACCACGATGCTGGCGTTGGCGGAGACGACTTCGCTGACGAGGGATGCGTCGTGGGCCTCTTCGAACCGCCAGACCACAGAGATATCCGACCTGTCCCGATCCGACCTCATCCCGACGCTGCCTTCGCCACGGCCTCGCGGGCCGGGCCCCTGGGCCGCGAGCTCCCGCGGACATGCGTCGGTTTCTCGTGGATGCCCCGCGCGAAGTCGACACCCCCGACGCCATGTTTTTGTTCACGACGTCGACCACCAGAGGTCTCCCCTCCTCCTCCCTCCTCCTCCTCCTCCTCCTCCTTCTCCCCTTTTTCCTCCTCCTCCTCCTCCTCCTTTTACTCCCCTTTCTCTTCTCCTCCTCCTCCTCCTCCTCCTCCTCCTCCTCTCCTCCTCCTCCCCTCCTCCTCCTCCTCCTCCTCCTCCTCCCCCCTCCTGTCCCCCGGGACTGGTTTTTCATCCCGAGTCGTTTTTTTACGGCCCCGAGGCCCGCTAAGAGCCCCCAGAGGCTGAAATGAGCGAGAATCCTCCCGTCGCGATTTTGTTCACTGCGAGAGGGGGTCTGGGAGCGCAGCCGTGCGACCGCGCATCCCCGGGAGCGCGCCCCGGAGTCCAGACCGCGAGAACGCGCCTACAGACATGCTCGCCGATCGTGCTCCCCCGCCCCGGCCCGCTAGGCTCTCCACGTGCAAGAGCAGCGGCTCCGACATCAGCCACGAGAGCACCAGGTTCTCGCGGAGAGGGGGGGGAGGAGGGAGGAGGAGGAGGAGGAGGAGGAGGAGGAGAGGAGGAGGAGGAGGAGGAGGAGGAGGAGGAGGAGGAGGAGGAGGAGGAGGAGGGAGGAGGAGGAGGAGGAGGAGGAGGAGAGGAGGAGGAGGAGGAGGGGAGGAGGAGGAGGAGGAGGAGGAGGAGGAGGAGGAGGAGAGAGGAGGAGGAGGAGGAGGAGGAGGAGGAGGAGGAGGGGAGGAGGGAGGAGGGGGAGGGGGAGGGGGAGGGGGAGGAGGAGGAGGAGGAGGAGGAGGAGGAGGAGGAGGAGGAGGAGGAGGAGGAGGAGGAGGGAGGAGGAGGAGGAGGAGGAGGAAACCACTCGGCCGACGAGAGGCGGGACCGTCGTGCATCGTCGGTCGCCTCGCCGGTCGTGGCTCGCGCGACAAACGGCCAAGGCTCCAAAGACGCCCAGAGGGCGGGAGGAGTCTTGGCATCGACGTCAACGTGCCCAAAGAGGGCAGGATCGGCTGCTGATAGGAGAGGTGGCAGCAGCACATCGTTTCAACAACCATCACAGTGCGCAGAGGCAGCAGCACATGAAGGGCGAGAAGTCGCAGAAGGGAAGCTGGCAACGCCGGGGGAGTTCGGGGGAAAGGTGGTCAGGAGCAGGGACCACACACCTCGAGCCCCGCACGAGCAGAGCTGGGAAAAGGTGGACAGGAGCAGGGTCCACAGGCCCAAGCTCCGCTCGGGACTCTCGGGAAAGGTGGTCAGGAACAGGGACCACACACACACAGCCCCCGCGGTCGGTGCTCAACAGGGACCTGTTGGAGGGCGTCCTGGAGACTGGATGAACGAGCAGCAGCACAGCTGGAAGGACAGGGCCCCTTGGAGGAGCAGTTCGGTCAAAAAAGCGGGCAGCAGGAACAGGAACAGGAGTCAGCAGGAGACCCGCAGCTCAGAGCACGTCGGCAATTTCCAATACACCCAACGGCAGAAGAACGTGCTGAACGGCATCACCCCAGTGCCGCTTGCGACCGCGATGGAGAAAGAGAGCTGGAGCACGCCCCCCTCGACGAGGAGATGATGTTCGTATGGTATAAGACGCAGTGCCAGCGGCTGGCGCGACTGGCTGGGTGGGGGGGGGGCAGAAGCGCTGGGTTCGATTTCGAAAAGTTAGAACAAGAGGCAGCCATCGCAGCAACGAGCGTCTCCGTCGTCCTCCTACCGAAGGAGAGGATAAAGCAGGTGAGAAGCACCCTGGAAAGACGAGAGGAGGAGCACGCGTGCCTGGAGAAGCAGCTCAACCAGATGCTAGATCAGGAAGCCAGAGCATCGCACTCCATCAAGGTCTCCATGAAGGAGACGAGGGGCCAGGTGGCTAAATAAGCTGGAATCAAGGCGGATACGTCGGATGAGGACACCAGTGCAGTACCCAGGAGAGGGCGAACGCCATGCCCTGCGGCAAGATCGAAGAATTCTCGCACGGGCAGGGCAGCCACGCCCGCCCGCCAGTACGAGATGCCGAAGGATAATGAGCAGGACGTCAGGGAAGCTTTCAGAGGGGTCAACGAGCGCCTCGACCAGCAGCAACAAAGGACGCAGCACAAGCAACAAGAGCAAACAGCCGAATGGAGCAGAAAAGGAGCATGCCATGGAGGAGGCCTCCAATAAGCAGGAGCAGGACACAGACAAGGCGAGGCAGCAGCACAGGAGCGCCGAACAAAAACCGCAGAATGAGCAGCTGCATATCCAGGAAGAGGCGCAGCAGTGGGAGACGGACGTGCCCACGAAGCGGTTCAACGCCGAGGTGGAGGAAGTGGAGGTCAAGGCATGCGAAGCTGAAAGAGGCAGCAAAATCACCCAGGGGGACAGAGCGCTGGCCATGATGAGAGACGTGAGAAATAACCTGGAGCAGGACAAACTGAAGCTGCAGCAGGGGCTGCACCACGAGGATAAGAAGAGGGATGCCTACTTCACGCAGCGGGTGGAGAAAGCGAGACATGAGGAGATGAAGACCAGACAAATGGCAACCCAAGAAGCACAAAGGCATGAGTTAGGGCGAGAAGAAACAGAGCAAGCAAGAACATGTAATGATCCACGCCGAGCGGGAGCATTCCAGGATGAAGCACAGTGCGCGCCGAGAGGAACAACGACAACAAATTGCTGCCGCAAGTGGAATGCTCAGAATGTACCAAGCGGAGAACTACAAGAAAGACCAGGCCATGACAGCACTGCAGAAGGAGCGCGGGACATGGGCAAGGCTTCGCAGGCGTGGCAAGCGGAGCAGGAAAGGAACCCAGAGCAGCGCGGCGAGCAGCGAGCGCAGACGCAATGCCTGAGGCAACAGAACGAGCTGCTGCAAAGGGGGCATGAAGAGGCCGCGACGCAGGCTAGGCGCGAGGAGCTGCACGCCAAGGAGAAGTAGGGGGCAGCGCATCTCGAGCTGCAGGCCATCAAACAGCAGTACCACCACGAGACGCCAGACATCTAGCAGCAGCGCGGCATCGCGCAGCACCAGTGCGCCATGCATCACCGGCAGCAGATCCAAACCATCGGGCGGCAGCATGGGCGACGCACAGCAGATCGCCAAGAAGCCTTGATGCACGCCTGGAGCACAGGAGAGCAGATCGACATAGACATCCTGGGCGCGATGGCCAGCAACATCCAGGACGACGTGGAGACACACCACAGGTACCAGGCTATGGCGCACTAGGAGGAACGTCATTAGCTCGGACAACTCGAAGGGCACCTCTCGAACCCTCTACCCCAGAATGAGCAACCGACTCCGCAGCCTGGTGCCGCAGCTCTCTTGCACGAGCTGGCGGCTCTCGAGTTCGGGCGCCCGTCGCATGCCTCATCGAGACCGCGCCAAGATACTCCGAGACCGACGCTCGACGGCGACTTCAGCATGCAGGAGCTGGGTTGCGCATCAGTGCATGCAGTGAATGGGCCGCGTGCTCGAGGCCCAGCTGGGCACCTTTGGGGGGCCTTCTCACGTTCGACAAGGACCCGAAGGGAGGACCTGCAAACTATGCTGCGCATATCCCACTCGAGGAGTCAGACGACGCCGACCTGCGAGAGGACGGGGGAGGCGAGAGGGCGGCGACGACGACGAGGCAGACTCCGCGGACATAGCACCTCTGACGCCCGCGCAAGCATGTACCCACCCGTCACTCCCATGCCCCCGAACAGCACGCCGATCCCAATACTCAAGAGAACACCATAGAACACCGACAACACGACTACTGATTGACTTGAGCAATGAGGGCGACGCATCACCAGTTACCCCGCGGCGAATCTCCATCGGTGACATCGCACCCACGGCGCCTCATGCGCCACAGTCACCACCTCCACGATTCCATATGGGCACGCCCGACAGGGCTACATCGGCACCACCAGCACGCGGAAGACTGAGGAGGCCTGGCGAGGGCATGAAGTCGAGGAGCCAACCCAGAAAGGTGCGCATCTTCGACACAGGGGATGGTTATGCAGACTCCTCCGGCAGAGTGGCGGCGTTCCTGGGGGGCGGCGACAGCGACCTCGACGCGGGTCGCCTGCCAAAAAAAATGATTCAGTACCCGACGCCTGAGGGGCAAGCGGCTCAGGCGCGCGACGCATCGCGCGCGCCGGACTCGCGCAGTGAGGAGGCTGCGCCAGAAGGCCACGCCACAGGCCACGACGGGACAGAAGCTGCGATATGCAACCAATGTGACCACGCAATTTAGCACGCGCCGCACCGGTGATCGTCGAGGAGATGGCAGATGGCGCGCCAGCGGCCCGGCAAAGCCGCTCCACTAGGGGGCCCAACCCACCAAGCTTTCACGTGCCTCCCAGCAGTGCCGCCCCACTAGGGAGCCAAGCTACCAACGACCCACGCCGACGCGACTGCCCAGGGGGCTGCGGGGCGACGCTTGAACAAGGTTGGTAATCTACTCGCGCGACGCGCACAGCAACAAGCCCGCGGGCGGACTTGGGAGACCCCCCCAGGCCGTCAGCGACACCGAACGTAGCAAGCACCAACCAAGCAGAGCGAGCCGGACGCAGCAAGAGTGGGGAAGCTACTCGCGCAGCGGCAGACGCTTGAACACCGTGTAGGTGCCAGGGAGGGCACCGCCAGACCTCTCCGGGCATAACAGCGGCCCACTTCAGATGGCGACGGCGGCCCGCGCGGCGCCGCGCGCCAGACCCGCCGACCGCCAGCGCGAGCGACTGCGACAGACCAGGCTGGGTCAACCTGGGAGTCAACCCCAGGAAGACACTCGGCTCTAGGCCCCGCGACGCTTGGCGCAGAGCATAGAGCCAGAGTCGGCGCGAGTACGGGATACCTCGGCGAGCAGCCAGAACCAGAACCCCATGGGGAATGGCGGCCTCGCCTGCGCCCGACAACACTTGCGAGGAGCGACTCTCAGAAGGAGGCAACAGTCGCTCCAGAGAGACCTTCTCCCACTGCATCCAGACAACTGACCGGCCATTTTGGCTCAGAGGGGGGGCGAAGCAAGCCTGCCTCCACACCCATTGGGTAAGCCCGTCCACCCGAGGCGGCCAAACTCACTGCGCCCACATGCACCGGGCAGGGCGACGAAGCAACGGCACACTTGACGGAGAGTTCCCAGGTTAGCAAGCACCCCGCGCGACACGCAATGTCCCATTGCATGCGATCTCATCGACGACACCGAGGAGACCTTCACGGGCAGCCCATACCACCAAACGCACAGCATCGACGGTGCACCGAATCCCAACGACGACGTGTCTGCAGCAACGCGAAGACGACTGGCGCGGCACAGGCGACGAGCGAGACGCGAGGGTCGAATCGAAGCCACCTTGGCGCCCAAGACGCCCATCCCCGCAGCTAACCGCGTCGCACCACTCACCAACGCGACCAGCCACTACTGCCACGCGGTCGGCAGCTCTGACGCACTCCCAGGGCACCGACGCCCGCGGACGCCCCAGCACTCACGCAGCACCACCACCAGCATTGACTAACCACCCATATGACCCCACAAGGGGAGCGACACCG